GTCAACAAGAGCCCACTCTAATCATATGTGTGCACTCAAGCCTGGGTACTGGGTTTATCTCTCATAGAACCAACCCCCATAACAGCACAACAGCAAGAGAATAATATGACAACAATAAGAAAATAAATGCATGAAAATGCAATAAAAACAGTAAGTAAAGCAAAGACAAACACCCAAAGAAAAAGAAACAAACAAGCGCTAGGATTGACTCTCATAGGGAATTATAATTGTCCCCAACAGAGTCTCCAGCTGTCGCAACTGCGAAAAACAACCGGCAGAAAAAACAGAAGAGTCGCCACCGAACGTTATTTATCCCGATGGGGGAAAGGAAACAATAGAAGAAAACCTCAAAAAGGGAGAAGACATGGTCTCGCAACCAAATTCTGGGTTCGGAAGTCGATTACGCGAGAGGAAGGTATTAGCACCCCCTCGCGTTCGTTGTACTCAATGGGATCCACACTTGTTGTTCTAATCAAAGGGTGAGTTATCTAAAGCCTACTACTAACAAAAATGGAAAGAGGAAAACAAAAAGGAGACTCGATAGGACTTCATCGTCTTAGGCCTACGTATTTCCTGGTGCAATGGAAAAGTCAGAGTCAACGTAGTTTGGAGCACTACGGGTGAAGGAGGGAAAGTTGCTTTCCAAGACTTTGTTGTCTTGTGCTTACGTATCCTCACTCAGAAGAGAATGAGGAAGTCAGAGCGTTCGTAGTTCATGGATTACGGAACGAAAAGGGAAAAGGCTGCTAGCCAAGACTTCTCTGTCTTGTGCCTACGTATCCTCATCGGAAATGAGAAATCAGAGCAGTCGTAGTTCGGTGGACTACGGGTTGATTAGTGTCTTTTATGAGCGATGCTAATTTCGCATTCCAGTAGTTAGGGTCGATACCTGTTTGCGCTAGAACGGAAGTAACATGCCTTTTCTGAAACGATTTGAAATGAAATCCCAAAAGACAAAATGATTTGATTTTGTTCAAGAGTTTTAAAGAAGTGAATTGATTTTGTTTGAGATGTGCATTGTACTAAAGTCTATGACATATGATCGAATACTTTGTGCTAATGATCCAAACTTCTCGTGCACAAATGACCCTAAGATGAGGTTAGAAATGTATCCGCTCATCTTTTTTCATGTGCTTAAGGCTCGTGACGCACTATGCACATCGTATTTATTATGTATCTTGAATTGATTTGAGAGAGGGAAAGACAGAGATGCAAAAAGCAAAATAAAAATCTAAGGGATCTCACACCTAGATGTTGTCATGCCAAATGATCTTATAGTTGAGATTGAGAAAAGGAATTTTATCCTAATGTTATCATGCAAGGGATTAATCTTAATGTCTAATTTAACATTAAGTGATCAAGATGGGATCTAATCACTTAATGGAATATCTTAAGAGATTGTCCAAATCATACAAGCATATCATGCATCAATATCAAAGTCACTATTCATCATAGGGAATCACAAACTTTTCATTCAAGGTACTTGAGAAATCGTCGAATAATCAATCACCATAATATCACGATCCTAATTGTAGCTCTACTAAAAACTCCCAAATTAAAATTTAAATAAAAGACTCCATATTTTAATAAACTCTAAATTAACATTCTAATCACAATTTTCTAAAAAAAACAAATTTAACTATTAAGAATAAAATATTAAAAAATTAATTTTAAATACCAATCAAATTCTAAAATAAGATAAAAGTATTAGCGAAAAAAAATAATCTAGTGAGAAAATCTTTAAGAGAAGAGTGAAAATGGGGTGTTTAAGAAAAATGAAGGGTTATTGTTCAATACATCATGAAGAACCAACCAGTAACAAGAAAAAAAACGAGAGAAGCTTACTTGGTCGGAGCTAGTCCGACGGATTTCCCATCTCTAGTAGCGTATAGTTCAAGTATGATTGCAATTGCTTCTTCTTTCTTATCTTCTACTTTGTTCTCTCGTTCCTTCAATTCGTGTATATTGTCCCCTCCTTGACATTATGTGTGTTGTTCTCTTTTTATAGCTATCTTGAAACTTGGTATTGAATTGTTACTTGAATGCTAATGATTGTGTTGTAATCTTTTATTTTGGAAAGATTTTAAATCTGTCTGAGACATGTTTGGAACTTATTTGGAAAGAATTCAAATTTATTTGGGACATGTTTGGAACTTATTTAGAAAGAATTCAAATATGTCTGGGACATGTTTGGAACTTGTTTTTGAAAGAATTAAAGTTTGTCTTGACATGTTTGGAACTTGTTTTATTAAAAGTGGATATTGATATGAGTTTGGATAAATGGTTAGAAAATGGATTTTGAAATTGGTTTATGGATATGGTTAGGAAATGGATTATAAAATGAATATTTGATATGGATTTGAATACAGGAAAATGGTTTTAGTAGGAACATGGTTATGGAAAAATGGATAAGGATTTTGAAATTTGGGAAATGGATAATGAAGAATGTAAAATTGGTAATGGATATCTGGATATTGGTTTTGGTTTGGATATGAAAGGTGGATAATGGTTGATGAACTTGAATGAGCCATCCGTCAATATTTTCCACTGATGCACACCTTGACTGAATTTTATCCAAAAACCAAATTGGAACCTTTTACACTGAAACAACTATCGTTTGAATCAATCTTGAACCTTTCCATAATTTCTTTGAATTTCTGATTAACATGAAATAAGTCCTGACACTTTAAAATTGTCTAAATCGATCTTTGGAAAAATAAATCCACAAATGAACACAACTTAGACCGATGGACAATGATGAACCTGATTTTAACCCAATCTTCTCATAAATCACTACTTGATAATAGTTGAAGCGAACTCTTGATGGTTTGACCAAGATTAGGTCAAACTTTCATCTAATCTTGATCATGACTGAATAATCACACTTGACTTGAAACCAAAATTCCTGCCCTTGAGTGCACATTGATCCTCTTGAAAAATGATGATGAAGATGACATTGATATCCGATAAGCCTTGGTAAAGAAGATAATCATGATGTTGGGAACTCAACCTTTGTCTCAACTCGAGTGCAATAGCCAAATAAATCACCTATGAATATGGAACACTCAAATCACAAGAAAACGCTTTAATCCACGTCTTTAGGAGCTCAATGCAAATGAATGAATGCAAGGATATGCCCTAATGGAAAATGCACTTGAACGTGAAACACAAGTCAATTATGGTTAGAAATAAGAAGGCAAATTTTGGGGTGCAACACTTATCTTTAGCAAACAATTTTTAGTCAAAACACAAATATTTCAAGAGGTTCCTGTAGAGTACTACAGATGCTTAGGGGGCTAGTACCTTCACTTAGTATAACCAACTCGCGTACATTTGATCTCTCTTTTGCTTAGCTTTAGGCCTTGCTTTTTGTTTGCATTTTATTTATGGGTTATTCTTTTTTTTCCCATCCCTCGGATAAATTAAAGATCGGTGGTGATACTTTATGATTTGTAATTCAAGTTAATATAATAGCTTGATATCTGATTCTCATCGTGACACCAAGTCTAAGTCTTAATGTTTTGTCACGAGAGTGAAAAGCAGATTAAGGTTCGAGTTGATAGCGCGAGAGTGTGAGGATTGAATCAGGTAGTGGAAACTAGGCACCTAGGGCTGGCAATGAACCAAACCAACTCGAAGATAGTTCGGAATTCGACTCGACAATTAAATCGTTGAACTAGGTTCATGAACCAAATGAGTTGAGTATGAGCGAAAAATTAAGTTCGTTAACTAAATGAGCTGAACTTGAACTATACATAGTTCGACTCGTTAGGTTCATGAGTCAACTCGATTACATATGAAAAGAATTATACTGTCTTTAAGATTAGGTTTAAATATTTACTTTAAATCTTAGACAAATTTAATCTTAAATTTAGTAGTTTTTGAGTTAGACTCTCAAATGTATCTCTTTCAAGTTGTGTAGGTTTTGAATTAGTAGATTTCGAAGATAAAGTTAAATTTCAATATGATAACTTTTATTTTATTTTAAAAATATATATTTATTTAAAATGTCAAATATACTAATATATATATATATATATATATATATATATATATATATATATATATATATATATATATATATATATATATATATATATATATATATATATATATATATATATATATATATATTTAAAAAAATAGTTTTTAAGTTCGTGAACCACGTGAGATGAACCTAATGAGATGAACCTAACGAGTCGAACCGAACTGTTCGTGAACTTATAACGAGTCGAGTTTGAGCTTAAAAAAAAGTTCGTGTCGAACTCGAACTCGAACTCGAATTCAAACAATTCTTAACGAGTCGAGCCGAGCTGAGGTGAGTTCGACTCGACTCGACTCATTTCCAGCCCTATAGGCACCGATCTTAAATACAGCGAAAGCGCTTTAGGTATCGATTAGGATCTAATTAGTTTTCAAAATTCACTTCTTAATTAAAATGGGCGAGCGAGAGTAAAATTTCATGGTTAGAGAGTGTGGCTTTACTCAATAGCGTGAGAGTGTGAGGCAGAGTCTTTAAACTGATATTTTTTACGGAACGTAATTTAACTTTAATTTAATATCTATATGTTATAGAGTCTCTGAAGAACACGGAATCCATATTCCGCCTTCTCCTTATTGATATATTTTCTAAGTTTCATTTTAGTTTTCATTTTAATTCCATTTAAATCAAGTAATTGTTAGCCTTAGCTTTACATCGCAGTAATAGATAACGGTAGATTGACATTAGTCTCTGTGGGTTCGACAATCTTTTATATTACTTCAATATTTCCGTGCACTTGCGAATGCATCAAATATATTGTGAGAGATGGTGAAAAAGTGTTAAAATGGTTCAAAGTGGTTAACTCCAAAACGCAATACACGGTTACAGTCATTCTAAACAAAACAAACCATAATCAATTACCAAAACGCAATACACGGCTACACTCATTCTAAACAAGACAAATCAATACATTAATAAATCAATTATCAAAACGCACTACTCGAATACGGAAGTCGAATTATGTGATTTTCACATTAGGATCCTCTAACAAAAAGCTAAAAATAGCTATATCCTTAACCTTCCCTTTGACATAGGAATACTTTCTAAGTACACCCTCCCTAAAGAACCCTGCCTTATCCAAAACCCTCTGTGAAGCTTGATTCTCCACATCAACAAAAGCTTGTAACCTTACCAAACAAGGAATATCCTTGCAAACTTGTGATACAGCAACCTTAACAGCTTTGGTGCAAATCCCTTGACCCCAGTAGTTAGCAGCTACAGCATAGCCAACATCAGCCCTACACCTGTCATCATCATCATCGCCAGATCCAGCTGGAGAAATTGAAATGAATCCAATAGTTTTATTGTCAATGCATATGGAACGTGTCCAAGGGTGAGGAATGCATACATCTTGAATATAACTCAAAGTTTGTTCCCTTGAAACCAAAGTTTTCCTTCTAGTCAAGTTTGTTACTCTATCATCACATACTACTAACATGAAATCATCCACGTCGCTTAACGTGAATGGCCGCAGAGTGATTCTTGACAACAAATCAAGTGCCATAGCTATACTATAGTACAAAGAGAAATAATGTATGAATCAAATGAGTTGCTAGAGATAGAAAGATTAGCTTGTATATATCAGTTTATAATAAAAGGGAGAAAGGGACAAGGAATAAAACAAACAATATATCCACAGAATCTTATGCACAACTTTCTTGGATTAGTTTTGGCACCCCTTGTTGTCTTGTATGGCACCCCATCGCTATACTTATTATTATTGTTTTATTTTTTAATATGCTTTTTACAGCAATATTTTTTATACTGGTACATATCATTAGTGCCACCGTTGAAGATGGAATATAAATAGTTTATCTTATTTTGGTTGGATACCATTGACGTAGAGACTAAGGCTTTTGTGGTGCAGTTTGAATAGGTTTTTTAGATAAAAGTTTTTTAGATAAAAGTTTATTTGATGGAAAGTAAATTTATTTGTAATTTGATTCAATTTAGAAGATTGATTAAAAAATTTAATTTTATATAATTTAATTTGGATAAATTTTGAATATATCAATTATAAATTATATTTTTTGTTAAGATTATAAAAATGCATTTGATATAATATATAACATATAATACTATTAGTATTGTGAAATAATAAATATAAAATAATAATAATAATAATAATAATAATAATAATAATAATAATAATAATAATAATAATAATAATAATAGATTAAACTAAATTAGTAAAAAATATTTAAAAATATGTATCATCTTATAATAAATTAATAAAACCTATCATATTAGTAAAAAATAAATAAATATAAAAATATATACATACGATTTGGTTCGGTTTGGATCGATTTTGAAAAATCAATTCAAAATTTAATTCAAACTGAATAATTTTTACAAAATAACATCCACACACATTCAATAGTATTCTTTTTTTCCGTGAGTTTTATTTTTTATATATAAATTTATTTACTATTTTCATTTGAATCAGTTTGAATTTGAACATTTGTAATAAAGACGGTTGGACCAAAATTGAAGGATAAATATTTTTTTAAAATGAAATAATTATTTTCATTTATAATATTAATAAATATGTCATAAATATTATTTATAAATAAATATTAAAAAATCAGAATAAGCTTTTGCTATTGATAAATATTAAAAAATATATAATACAAATATTTTTCACTTGAAATATCATCAAATGTTATTTTTCAATACCCTATTATTATTATTATTATTTTTAATTCATTTGCATTTTTTAAAATCAAAATCGTATTTTCCTTTGTATTAATATACACAATTGATGTAATTGAAATTTATGCCATTGATTTAATCAACACACTTGATGTGATAGTTCAGTGATAAGAGATTATGAAAAATGTAATCAACACACTTTGATGTGATAATTCTTTTTTAATAAGATAATATAAATAAAAAAGGGAAACCGGAACAAAAGTGAGAGTGGAGATTATAACAAAACTCTTTTTGTTAAAAAAGTGAGAATCTCATAAAATTTAATGGTATTATTAGTCAAAAGATTTATGTTAACAAGGGAATTTTTATTATTAATATTGTCTAATCGGCTAGTTTCATCTGCTTCAGAGACAGATTCATCAATATTTCTTCTTCTATTTCTTCTATTTTTGTGGACTGTGCTCGGGTCGGAAATAACTTTCCGGTATTTGCTTCTATGAATATGTATGATTATGGGTTGTTTAAGAGATTTAAAGTTCAATTTCAACCTCCTAATGCGTCCAAATTTATTGAGGTTTTTTGAAAACCCTTCCTCCTAATTGGCGGTATTGTTAGGGACTCTGTTTGTGGTGGTATTTATTGGAACTCTAAAGGTAGGTTTTTCGGAATTTTTACTTATTTTTTAGGAGATTCTAACTCTTTCATTGTCGAACTCACTTGTGCGATTCTTGCAATTGAGCTCACCATTGAAAAGGGTTAAAATTATTTATGGTTAGAATCATATTCAACGGCAGTGGTTCTTGTTTTCAAAGACTCATTCTCTCTTCCGTGATAAATTCGAATTAGATGGATTAAATGTAATAATGCAGTAATAAAAAATTATGAAAAATTTTAGAAAAAACTATACATTAAAAAAATATTTTAAGAGATTAAAAATAAATTTTAAAATATTTACAACGATCATAAATATATTTAATAAAAAAAATTTGACATATATGCAATTGACAATTAATACTACTAAAAATGTTACCCTACATACATAGTTGCATTTAAGTATTCCAAATTTTCCCGTAAAAAAAGTTAGTATTCCAAGTTCCAACAAAGAAGTTGTTAGATTACATAAAAGTGTATATGAAATAAACTATATTAAAATGTGCTACTTGTTTGATTTTGTTTTGAGGCTCATCATCTAGACAATTATGAAGATACTTTTATTAACATCGTGACTTCTAGTGTCTATAGGAGAACGTCGTTTTTATATAAATAATGAATTTGTCTTTGTAACAACAACTATGTCTATGCGTGGAGTTTTTTAATTGAAATTTTGTTGACTTAGTTGAAAGATTTTAGTGAGAGTGGAGGAAAAATAGATGTGTTTGGTTCAATTTTTTACGAAAAAAGAAGAAAAAATTGGAGGTAATCAAAGTTCTTTTTGAAGTATTTTTTTTCGTTTTCTGAATTGGAGGTTTTTGAAAAGAGGGGAGGAAGACGAGTTATGATAATATGTATTTTTATTATATTGACAAAATTATTCTGACTTTTATTTAATAAAATTTTTAATTGTCTTTATTAATATTATACCTTAATTTTTTTCATCTTATTATAATTTCTTCATTTGTTTAATGACAACTCCATTATTTTTCTTATTATGATTCAACTTTTTTTTCATGTGTTTTATTCTATTCGTTTTTATTTAATATTTTGTTTGTAATAACTTAATTATTTTATAATTTATTGTATTATATTACATATCAATATATAATAGTAGTATGAGTTATATATTATGTAGAATTTAATCTTATAAATATGTTATAGGATTAAATAGATGAAGATGAGAAAATAGTTCATATAATTTGATTTTATGATGTTTATCAATATTTTATTTTCATTTTAAGATATTTTAGAATATTTTTAAATGTTAAATATTTTGTGTTTAATTATCTATGTTTTTTATGAATTAACAATTTTTTTTTGTGAATATTATTTTTAAAAAAAAATTATTAACATGATTGTTATAATATTTTAAGGGTAAAAAGATAAATTAGTTTTAAAACTTCTCCCCTTCTCATGTGAACCAAACATATATTTGAATAAAATTTCTCTCTCTCCTCCCTTCCCCCTCTTATAAACCAAACATACGTTTAATTAAAATACATTTATTTATTTTCTCTCCCCTTCCCTCCTCTTTATTAAAGTTTCTTCCCTCTACTCACTCCCCTGAACCAAACGGACCCTAAAAGCTAGAATGTCTTATATAATTTTAAAATAATGAAGAAAGAAAATAGAAATGTGGTGTGGGTTGGCCACAGATCCAATACCGTCTAGGCCTATAGTCATCGACTCATCGCATGTGCATCTAAATATATGTAAATTATGATAAACATTATATTAATAATAGTTATATTTTATTGGTGTGTTAATATAATATAATTTATTTTTGCTTAATGTAATTGTAATTTATTATTATTATTATTATTATTATTATTATTATTATTATTATTATTATTATTATTATTATTATTATTATTATTATTATTATTATTATTATTATATTAGTTTAATGAAAATCTAATTATTTATTTTAAATCTTATTTATTAAAATGGATTTCAATTGTTTAAGTATTATGTAAGTGATGAACATGTGTATCGGTATGACGTTACTTGATACGATTATTATATGATAGAGAAATAATTGAATATTTATTTAAATATTTTTCATAAATCTTAATCTTAGTTCATTTATTATTTTTTATCAAATGGAAGAATTTGCATATCAATTTTATAATATGAGAATTAAATATCATTTACGTAATATAACGTTATTTTATGAGACATATATTGAAAATATTATAGTCTTATGTTATTGATGAAAGTTTACAACTACTTGTGTTATATCCTCAATACTAATAAAATTAAAGTCTCATTTTTTTTTTACATATACTATAATATGTTTCTCATATGTGTGTAGTTATATTTGAGGTGTTTGAGTTTTTAGTGAGTGATTAAGATGTTGTATATAATTCTATATTATATTTAAAATCATATGGATTTGATTTCACTCAAATGATGGTAAACCTTTTATATAACCATCATATTCTTTCATGTGAAATATTTCTAAGTAATGATATATTCTATTTACATACAAAATATGTGGTTAAGTTGTAAAACTCTAATGGTGATATATTATACAACCACTTTTGTAGTGTTATAATAACAGAGGGCCCCACTTAAAGTGATACCTTTATACGGACCTGATCTTACCGAATCAGAAAAGAATCAACACCCAGCAACATGCCGTGAGCTCTTGTATCCGCTGATGGTGGAGAAGAGGGGGGGTGTATCTGCAAGGTGCTCTGATATCAAAGTAAGAGACGGAGTAGAAAGAATAAGTACAGAAAAATGTGTAGAGAATTGAATATGTTGGTCAACTATGTGACAAAGACGAAAAGGAACGAGCATGCTTGGTCCTCGAGCACGAGGGGGAGGTGAGAGGACACGCATTGTGTCTTCTAAGGCCATGTGTCACGAGTAATCAATGCCTAGGGCGGCTATGCGTAAGGGCACTTGAGTGCCTAGTGATGTCTCGCTTCCCGTGCTAGGATTATAAATAAGGGGGAAAGTTCCCTTCATTTTCACTTCCCCTTCATTTCAGTTAGAATTTCTTCCAAGCCTCTCCAAACTCTCTCCGCTCCCCAGACTACATCCATCGTCACCGCCGCCGTCAGCCTTTGTCCGTCGCTCAGATCTTCTTCCTTCAAGTAAGTTTCTGTTTCCTTTTCTAATTTGTATGTATTTTCCGACGATTTCTCTGGGGAGCTCGTAGGGTTTATGGGGGATGTGTAAGTTCTCTTG